GCCACTAGACCATATCGGATATGAAGAGAACGGCGGGACAAACGAAATAAACAAACATATTTTGGGAACATTTTGTATCCAACACCCAGATTAACACTATATGGGAATTTCATTCTAAACGTAAGAATAGAAAAATTGTTCAAGAATAAATTAAAACAGATGTTAATTGCGTTTAGAGCCTTACAGCATTAAAGATTAATTAAATATGTAACAACAATACTTTTTAGGATATATAATGTGTCCTTTGTCAATTTATTTTTTAACGCCATTTCATTTTGGATTTTGTACATGTGCATGTATCAATTGAATGTAATTGGAAATACAGAAATAATTTTTTTTTTTAACAAGCGCCCGGGGAACAATACCTTTTTAGCCCCCCCCCCACCCTGGTGAATTTTATAGGGTGAAAAGTGGTTCAAAACGGCATTCGGTCCAAAAATGTTGTTTGTTACGAGGTTTATTTATAAGGTGAGCACAGTTTTAATCGGCAAAGTGGCAATCCTAGTACCAGACAGTAGCGTAAAGAATACCAAGTTATCCTTTAGTTTGAATACAACAATTATTTAATAACTTAGGAAAATTAACATTTAGACCGTTATAACCGTTTTATCAGCGAATAAAGTATGTATCCGGTATGGTCTAGTGGCTAGGATACCTGGCTCTCACCCAGGAGGCTCGGGTTCGATTCCCGGTACCGGAAACTTTTTGAAGCCGTTTCAAAATCGCGGTTCAAGGGATAGTATCACAATAATAATAAATTTATTATTTTTTTWAACCGCGGGAAAAGCGCGTTTAAAATTTCACGGGCACAAATCAAATTTCGTAAAGAATAAAATATTTTTGAAAACTTCAAAATAAGTTTCGGTTTCCAAAATATAAATCCTACACTTCAGAAAAAAATTGAAATAATCATCAAGAAAACTGCTTTTTACAGAACTATATCTAAAATYTCGCAATATAGTTCGGAAGAAAAGTTGGGTAAATTTCAAGTTCCTTCTCATTTCATTGTCCATTCCAGAGTAAAATTCTAAATGATTWAAGAACTTTCCAAAAAAGTTTTTAATTTTAACTGTTTWTGCAGATAAAAGGGTTATTTAGCATTTCAAAAASTCGTCGATTTAAAATCGTTTTTTACAATATAAAATGTACCTACACAAGGCGACTCAAACTTAAGTGGCATGACTTCAGCTGATCAGCTYGTACGTACAAAAATATATASTTTTTTTGAATAATAATAATGAGTTTCAAGTAATTTTTTTCAKATGTTTTTTTGTTAAGGGTCAACGTTACCTTGAAGTTTTTGTTCTATTTTTGAACGTACATGGTGCTTCCTCATAAGTTGACACACATCCTAAATCATTTGATTAAAAAAATGGTGAGTGGCAAATTTAAAATTTGTTTATTATTGCTCAGATTTTCAATATCTGAAATTCATACGAGAAATCAAAAACGTAGATGTCAAAGTTTTATCTAGTAAAATTTACTTTATACATTTGTAGACGGATCAATATGATTTAATTTCCTAATTTCAGAAGTATAAATATTGCTTAGACTTCTTTCAGCTGTTTTCTTTTTATTACGATTTAATAATAATTACAAG